TTTCCCCTGCTCGGAACCTCAGGGCAGAGCATCCCGCAGACCCGGCTTGTCTTACCTTACCAAAGCTGGGGGCCAAAGCTGGATAGAGGCAATCAGATACCTCAAGCCTAGACCTGGCTCTGCAACCAGTGCGACAGTGAACAAAACCCTTGCATCGCTCCGGCCTTAGGGTTCCTCGGCCTTAGGGTTCCTCGGCCTTAGGGTTCCTCATCTGTAAAGCCGGGGGCCCTTGGACCGGTGGGTTTGGAAGGTCTGCCAGTCGGATCAGGCTGTCTCGTTCCCCAGCTGGAGGCTTGAGAGTGTGGCACTTCCCCTTCCAGTGGGAAGTCCTCTGGGGGCACTTGTGGCCACTTCTCTGACTGGGAACTGAGTTGGGGGGGTTCCCTAGTGATTCCACTTTGTGCTTCCCCCCTCTCCCGACTGCTAGAGTTGGGGTATGACCCTCCCAAACGGAGCAGCAGGCTGGGTGGGGGCACGTGGCTGTGTTGGGGACCGGGGGTCCTGCAGATGGAGAGTGATTCAGAGCCTGCCCAACTGGAACAAGAATACGAGCTTCTCTGGCTCCTTTAGTCTGGGTTAGGAGAGAGAAGCTTGAGTCCAAGAGAGTTCTGTAGCTTGGAGGGGTGCTCCTTGGCGCCCCCCTGCTTAGCTCTTGGAAAATCCAAGAGCCGCTGCTGCCCTTTTGCGGGAAGGCTACTGCGGGGGTGGGGGGTGAGGGGGGAGGCTGGTTGCTGCTGAGGGGTTGGGGTGGGCCAGAGTTCCTCTGACCAACGACCCACTCTCGCTGGAGAGGTTTGGGGGGGAAGCCGAGAGGGGTGTGCTTGAAGGAGATCTACCTACTCTTGTACTCCTTTTTTGCTGATGAGAAAATTAAGATTCAGAGAAAGGAAACGACTTGTTTAAGGTCACACAGCTCTCAGCTCCAGCTGGTCCCTGGAGGAGGATTATAGTTATGGGAGTCAGGGGCTTGACAGCTAGGCCAGAGACAACTGTATTCACTTCCATATTACGCTGCATCTCTTCCCAGGTATAAGAGTGTGTGTGTGTTTGGGGGAAGGGAATGTGATATCACACACTGCAGTCCTTTCTCCACCTAGCCTTTTTCCATTCTTTGCGCAGAACTTCAGCTCCTCGCTCTGAAGCTCTCCTTTTGGGGCAGAGGGAGGGATTCTCGCAGATTCCCACGGTCCAGCCTTCTGCTAGGCGCGGCTCCTTTAAGACTCGCCCAGTCCCGGGTCTATTAAGGAGAGTGGGGTGGGGTGTGAGCCTGTGGGCCCGCCTCTGGCTGGTGATTGGTTGGTGGGGGGCAGGGGCGGGCCTCAGGGAGAGGGCCTCCCCCAGCTCGGTACCCTCCGCCCCCCAAGTCTGGGGCTCGGGGTAAAGTTTCAGCCTCCGCACGTGACTCGCCATGGCCGCTGTCTTCGGCCCGCGCCGCTGAGCCGCGGTCCCCAGACGGCTCCGCTCTCGGGATCCCGCTTCCCTGACGCCGAGCAATACCGAGGCGCAGGGTCAGGGCAGACGCCGTGCCCGCGGGCGCACGGACGGATTGCGTCCACCGGCTGCGAGGTAACCTCTCCCCCCATGATTTTGGAGAGCCCTGGGCTCCCGCGGGCATGGGGCCCCTTGCTCTGCTCTTGATAGGAGCTGCGGAGGGAGACCCGTGCCAGGCGGGTCCGACGGGAACCCGGGGTTCCCTGGGCTTCCCAACCCCCCGCCGCCGAGCCCAGGGTGGGGGAGCCCCGTCGGTGCGGCGGTCCGCGCCCGTGCCTTCGCGCGCAGCCGTGAGACGTCTGAGGCGGTCCGCGCGCGTGTCCCGGCGCTGGAGCTGTGGCAGCCTCGCTGCTGCGAACTCTTGCTCTCTCCTCTCTTCAGAAACAAGCAAAACAAAAAGACTTTCAAACCTGTTTGGGGAGAGATCGGATGCCCAACGGACTAGCCCCCACCTTCTTTTCCTCCTGTTATCTGAGCCGTTCTGTGGTTTGGGGAGAATCAGCCCCGGGGGCCCACCCCCACCAGAGGCAGCCGGCTTGAGGGGCGGGGCCCGCTCAGCTGGTGTCCCCCTTGGAGTGAGAGGAGCCGTCAGAATTGGATTCGGGAACCGGGGCACTCGGGAGAGGGATGACTCTGGGTCTGGCGCTACCATGGGGTTGTGGAAGCTTTTGGGGGGTGAAGGGGATGGAATACACCGGTCGTCTTTGCTCTGCTGAGGGTGTCTGGGACGTGGTGCCACCCACGAGGCGGGGAAGCTGCTAGCCAGATGTGTATGTGGGAGGGGGGCACTGGAAAATCAGCTTGGCTATGCCCACTCTCTGGGCACTGCCCTATTGTCAGGCTGCTCCGTGGGAAGGGGGTCGGGCCCCCAGAGTGCTAGGCTGGGGATGTGCACCAACTCATACAGAAATCAGACCAAAAAACGGCCCCTCCCAGTCTTGGAGACATTTCTTTTCTTCTTCTTCTTTTTTTTTTTTTTATCCTCACCAGAGGACACTTTTGCATCTATATTCAGATAGAGCAGGAGGGAGAGAAGGAGGAAGAGAGAGAGAAAAACATTGATGTGAAAGGGACACATCGAGTGTTTGCCACCCACACGACCCCAACCAGGGCTGAGGACAAACTGCAACCAAGGTACGTGCCCTTAGCAGGAATTGAACCCAGGACTCTCTGGTCCATGGGCCGATGCTCTAACTGCTGAGCCAAACCGGCCGGGGCTTGGAGACATTTCTTTACCATCTATCTATCTTGGGTAGGATGCCCACCTGGTGTGGGTTCCCTCTTCTGTAAATAGCTTGCCTTCTGCCTGTGGGCTATGTGCACATGTATATATATTCTCCAAGGGACTTGCTCCTGAGAACTTCTCTACTCCCCCACCCCTGCTGCATACCCCAACCCCTACCTCTGCTGACCACTATCCCCTACTCTAGTTTCCTGGTTAGGAGATTCAGGGATGTCTCTTGTCCTTCCATGGCTTCAGTGGTCGTAGGGCAGGGTTGTTCTGGATAAGTGTTTCAGTAAGAACACCAGGTCTTGCTGGGAAACGGGCTCAAGCCTTAAACTCTTCCAGGGCCTTGTGCTTGATGGGGAGGCTGGGCCGGGGAAGCCCCAGGTTGGACTGGGGATGGCTTGGAGTCTTGGGGCTTCCCCTGTGTATGTGTGTGGTAGGGGGTGGAGATGAGTCTGGGGGAGGGAACAAGAAGAAGAGTATTTGGAGCTGAGAAGTTGGGGGTGGTTGTGGAGTCAGGGAGTTTGTGGCTGTGAAAGATGTTGGTGCACTGGGAGGGGCAGGGACATAAGTTCTGCCAGGGAATCCTGGCCATGTGGGTCCTGAGACAGTCTAAGGTCAGACTCGAGTGGGCCCTTGGGAGCTGAGGATCTTGGATTTGAAGGGATTTTGCAGGTGTGAAGGAGCGTGCTTGAGGTGGTCACTGCAGGAGTTTCCCCACCAGACTTGTGAGGGCAGTGCAGAGGCCTTGGCAGTTCTGCGAAGACCCTAGGCTTGGAATGGCTTAACCCTGGCCACCTCCTCCTACAGTCACTAAATCTCTGTCCTTCAGTTTTACCCCAGATGCCCCTGCTACTACTCTGGGACATCTCTCTGGTCCCCCTCCTACTCCCAACCATGTGGCAGCCTGGCAGGAAGCTAGCTGTGGGCAGCACCATTCTGATCACCCCCATGCATTCCCCGCTGGGCACAGTCACCCACATGTGCCATGACGTGGTTCCTGCCACCCTGTCTAGTGTGGGGGAGAGGGCATTATTTGAGTGGGTCTTCAGGTCTCTTTTGGGGGTATCGACCCACACCCCTGTTAATTAATTTTCTTTTCCCTAAATCATTTGGTCTTGGAAGTTGTCTGTGCCCTCTGGTACCTTTCCCCCCAAGCCACTCCCTGCTCAGAATCTAGAGTCTTAGGTGGGGTGCTCAGAACTGTGTGACAAGAGGGTGGGCTCTGCCCTAAAACATTCACCTCAGTGCCCAGTTCCCTGTCCTCTGGGTGGCATGAGCAGGGCAGGACCTAGGATGGACTGGAGGGGTGGGTGTGTTTGGGTGTCTAGGGTATTTTTGTGAGCACTGTCAGAGGTCTGGGGTGAAGGGCATCTGGGAAGGTAATCCTATCCCTCTGATGAATAAACAGGGTTATCTCCACTTGAGCAGCACCCCACACCCTTTCTGGTGGTGGTGGTTTTGAGAGTGTGGGAAGCTGGCAGGGCCCCTGGCAAGATGACCAGGGTTGTCTTAACTTACTGGGTTTTGGGAAAGGAGTGTGGCAACAATACCCCAGCTCCTAGGGCTTTGGCTGCACATCCTCCCTGCTGCCTGCTGTCTTTCCTCCCTCCCTTCCCCTCTCCACCCTCTGGCTGCTGTCTGGAGCCCACACGGTTTGTGGGGGGATGTGGGATGGGGGTGAGGGCCTGGATCTCTGTGTGTGTCCAGGGAGTGTTCTGGGGATTGGCAGAATTGGCTGAGGGTGTCTGGGTGTCCCTGCAGGGTGGGCCGAGGGCAGGGACCAGGCCCAGTGTGTGAGAATGTGTCAGTGTTGGTGCGTCTGTCCCCAGTCTGGCTCGGGTGTGGGTGTCTCTTGCTCTGTCTGGATCTTGCCTCCCGCTCCAGTCCCCGCCCCCCCCTTCCCCAGCTGGGACCGCCTGCTTGCTCTCCCTCTCTCTCCGCAACTGGAGCCTCCCTTGCTTGTTCCTGGAATTTGGAGAGGAGGAGGAGGAAGAGGCAGGCAGACAGACCTCCCACACTCTAGCCTGCCTGCCTGGCATCATGGGGAAATGAAATAGGCGCTGTGGAACTAAGGTTTCCTTGGCTTCCCCAGACTCTGCAACACACATCACAGAGTAGGGGGAGCAGGTCTCACAGAAGGGGCATGGGCTGCCCCCCACCTGCAGCTTGGCAGCGATGCCTCTTTCTTCCATCCTGCATCCTGCCCATCGGGGCCCCTGCTGGGACCTCCAGGCACCACTGTCAGTGTGGAAGGGGGGTGGGTGGGTTGGGGGATTAGACTGCTGCCAGCCTGGCCAGCACCTGTTGCCAACCCCCAGCCCTGTAACTGGAGCTGGCCTGGGAGGGGGCTGCAAAAGGACAGGTGGAATTTCTGCAACCAGGCAACCCCCCCCAACCCATTGGATATGCCTTTCCCTTCCCAGAACAAGGAAAGCCTGTCCCCTCCCAAGTGTCAACCTGATCTCATGGATGATGTCCCTATTCTGTCTAGGGGGGCAGGGCTTGGGAGATGGGGAAGGGTATGAGTTTATTGCTATTTGCCCAATGCCCCCCACTGGTTGCAAGAGCCTGGGCTTCCCTTATTCAAGTTTTCTGAGCTCTGCTGCTCTGGCTGGGCTGGGGGGCATGGTGGTGTGGGGATGGGGGTGGTTTTCTGTTAATGTTTTAATTGCATAAAAACTGGGAGCTCAGCTCCAGGCCAGTGGGGAGTCTAGGTCTGGCTGGCCTCCCGGTTTGGGCTAAATATAGTCTGGGACATCTGCAGAGAAGGGGAGGGGAGTAGAGGGAGGTTCCATTCCCCCCACCTCTGGCCAAGGTGCCCTCTCTGGGCGGGCACCTTGGAGCAGGGAGGGGGATTCTTCAGCACAAAAGGCAGGGAAGAGGTGGGTGGGGGCTGGGCACAGACAAAACCTCACTGGCCTGGAGGCCAACAGAAGGCTGGGATGAACCCGGAGGCTCAGGACAGCCCCGGAGTGGGGCACGGAGTGGGGCACAAAGGGCTGGATCCAAAGGCTCTGCTCTCCTCCCCTCAGAACTGCCTGAGGTCAGGCAGTCTCTGTGTGTCACTGCGCCCGACTGTGTCACCGTGACCCACTCGCTGTGTGCTTGTGTGTACACACCTACCTTGGAGTGGCTCCCGCCCAGTCCTTCCCCCAGAGCCTCTGTCCCCTGGGTCCTACTGCAGGTCCCCAGCCCTTCCTTCTGTCCCTTGCCCCACAGCGAAACCTTCAGCCCAGGAATCGAGACTTGAGAAGGGGAAGCTGCGGTGGGGAGTTCTCTGATCTCCAGTCACGGCAGGAAGTGGAGGGGAGGAGGACAAGGGGGGGGACCGTGAGTGGCAGGCGTGGAGGGAGGGCCCGGCAGTCCTGCAGCCAACTTCGAACACTGTGGTAGGGGGTGGCCAACCTCCGGGCCACCCTTCTTCCCTGCAGCTCCAACTGGGGGAAACTTAGGGAACAGCTGATTTCCCAGGGGCTGCTAACAATCTTCATCATCCTCCCCACACTGAAAAAAAAAAGTCTTCCTGTCATGTGACTGTCACTTCCTGTCCCACTGTGGTTCCTGGGATGTTTGTTGTTGGTTACTATGGAGATGGCCGCTGTAGGCTTTACCCTGGTTCTTGTGGGGAGGAAAATGCCCTTCCCCCTAGGCCCACAGTTGGAGGGGACTTGGGGGGCCCTTCTTGGGGCCGTTTCAGGCTAAGTGTGTGTGGTCTCTGATGCCCCAGATCCGCCAGGACCCCCCAGACTTCTGTCTGTGGGAAGGAGTCACAACTATCTACTTAGACGAGTGTTGGGGGGGGACTGTGACCACACCAGGCTGTGCTTGACTGGGGGACTGTGTGAGTCTGAGAGCCTGTCCCTCCAGCCTGGGTCCCGCTGCCTTATAAAGATGCCAGCTCGTGTCTCCTGTTACTTTTGGAGCCTTCTCCCATCCTGTGTTCTCCTAGAAACTACTTTTCCTAGGGAGTGTCTGTGGCTTCTTGGGGTCCAGGCTGGAGTGGGGTGGAGCTCTAGGCAGGATCCCTGGTCGTGTGTGTTTTTGGGGGGAGTGGGAGGTGGTGCCCCCATCCCCAGCCTGCACCAGCTTCTCCCTGATCCTAGAGGCCTTGTGCTTAAGGGGCAAGCCATAGGACAGTGACCCATTCTCCCCAGCACCCTGGGCTTCTCTGTTAACTGGGGATGCAGAGGGGAAGAGATTCCCCCAAGTTCTAGCCCCAACTGAATATGCGTGGTGTAGGAAGTTCCTGGGGGGTCAATGGAAGGGGGAGTATGGGGCAGGACAGAGTCTGACTCAGGCCTGGTCTGGGGTCAGAGCCAAAAGGATATCCTGAGGCAGGAGGGGGTGGCGTTCCCCGCTTCCCTGCAGCCTGGGTCCCCAGGGAGGGATGCTGCTGGGAGGGGACTGGTGGCACCGAGTCCTGCTGACGGCCAGTCTGCCCTAAGACTCAGAATGGGGCAGTCACTGGGCTGGGGCAGAGTTGAAGGGATGGGAGCATTGCTGTAACCTTACACACACACACACACACACACACACACACACACACACACACTCACACGCTTCCTGTGTGCTCCATCCATCCAACGCCCCCTTTATGAGAGGGTTGTGCTTCCTACACTGTGGAGGCTGGGAGATGGTGGTGAGGGGGCAGCTGCCAAGGTGAGGGCGGGGAAAGCCCCATGCCAGGATGGGTGTGAAGACGGTGGTTTCCAGGCTGGGGGGTCCCCTTTTGTCTGTGCCCCTTTGGTCCCCCCACCCGGACAGAGCTGCCTTTGTTTGGTCCACACACTCCTGTGGTCTGGCTGTGGCTTGGGTTGGCTCATCTCTTCCTCTTCCTGTTTCTTCCTTCCCCAGGGCTGCTCCTCCTTGAGGCCTGGGCTGCCCCCTGCCCTTTCACCTACTCTCTGCTCAGAGGAGGAGACTTCAGCTCTGGTTCTAGAGGGGACCCTCAGCCACCCTGGGCTTTGGAGGTCCTGAGCACAGCTCCCATGGGGCTCTGGGCTGTGGTCCCCCAGGGGTGCAGGAGTTGGGGACATTGCCTTGCCCATCAGAGACCCCCATTTCCTCCTCCCAGAACTTGGCCTGCCTTGGGCTTGGGCTTGTCCAGTTGCCTTTTGTGCCTGTTTCTCAGTCACTGCCGAGACTGTGGCTCATGGAAGTCAGGGAGCCCTGCATAGCTGGGGCAGAACCTGGGGCCGGGTGGGCACAAGTTAGGGAGACAGCAGACCCACTCTTCTTGAAGCAGGTGCTGTGACTTGGAGCAGCAGGGCAGTGGCAGCATCCAGAGGAAGACACTGGACTTCAGCCCTCCCTTCCCCCTCCAGGGATGTGCTCCGGGCCTGCACATGCTTGGGGCAGGTTTTCAAACAAGTCCTAGCCCCAGCGAGGCAGGCCTGGGGTTCTGAGGTGCCCCCCACCTGTCTCAGCCTAGCCCAGGTGATCCTTCTCATATACTCCTGGGGTGGTCTGCCCTGCAGCCCAGACACTGGTAAGCAGAAGGTAAAGGAAGGACCAGAACGGCCAGATTGTGGGCTTGCTGGGCAGGGCTGGGTGAACGCTTTAGCTAGAGGAACCCTTGGGAAAAGGTAGTAGTGGTCATCACTGCTCCCCAACTCCTGCCTGCAGATCTGAGGAGCAGGGGGAAGGGAGAGGTTGTGGCTTTGTGTGAGTGTATTTTTCTGGAAAGTTTATAAATAGTTCCAGCCCACTGCTCTGGTTTGAAATCTGCCCCGTCCCGCCCTGCCTTGCTTCTGGCAAGGTATGGGGTCCAAAGGGGCCAGGTGTGTGTTTCTGCCAGGGCTGGAGTTCCACAAGTTGAACTTGAGCTTTGGGTGTCATTTGCATATGATTCATTGACTGTCTAGAATTGTTAGGAAACCCCCTGTGCCCCCTTCTCTTAAGCTCCCCAATCCTGATTTCCTTCTCTCAGCCCCTCTGGGACTGCCTGCCTTCTGTTCCCTGGGAGCCAACGTTTCAAGAGAGCTGGGGAGGAGAGAGGAGAGGGTGACTGAGCCAGCCAGGTGTGGGGACCCCTGGCTCCTCTCCCCTGACAGTAGGGGAGGAAATGGTCAATTTCTCTTCCCCTCCTCCCCTCCCCAAATCCAAAGGTTTCCCTTTTTTGGTTTGTGAAATGAAAGAAGGGAATTTAGGAAAGGGTTGTGGTCAGGCCTCCACCCACACCCCAAATATCCCTCTCCCCACATCCCTCTCCTCAGTCTGGGGGAAGCAGACCCTGGAAAGTGGGTAATTCTCTGGTCCAGCGCTGTCAACAGATGCTACCCAGCGTTGGGAAGAGGGAAGGGAGAGCAGACACTGCCCAGGGAGGCCCTGGGTGGTGCTGAGAGGTGTGGGGAGAGGGGGGGACCCAGTTGCCCAGCACCTCCTGTGTGCCAGACGCTGTGCTGGGTGCTTTCCAGGACTTTTATCTCTTAAATCACACAACCAGTTGTTGAGGTAGGCAGTCCACAGTCGAGTAAACAGATGCTTGGAGAGGTTAAGTGACTTGCCTAAGGTCACCCAGAGTGGCAGAGCTGAGATTTGACCCTTCAAACCTCTGGGGTTTTTTTCTACCATCTTCAAGGTGCAGCCAGCTCCTGCCTTTCCCTGTAGGCGTGTGACTCTGGGGAATACCACGAATGGGCAGCTGGGGACACATGACCCTGGGAAGGATTCTGGCACCTTGGTGAGGGAGGCCCCAGTGGGCAGGGTGTGTGGCTGATGGCAGGCGCGCCAGCCCACACCCCTCTTTCTGCTGTGCTGAGTCGAGGCTCAGTGTGTCAGAGGTGTGGGCTTGTGGTTTTCTCTCCCTGGAGGGAGGGTGCCCGTGGGGAGTGGAGGTGGTGGGCATAGGGTGGAGGTTGAATGTGGGTAGTTTGTTTTCCCTTTCTTCGGTGCCGGTTTCAATTCTGTGACTGTGTCTTCTCCACCCTGGGTGCAGGAACTGGGGTCCAGGTGTCTCCTTGAGGGTCATGGCTCCAAAGGGACCTTCTGAGGCAGTCTGTGCTCTTTTGCTCTGTCCCATCATCCATCCCTGTTCCCTCACTAGCCTGGCCCTTGGCCCATTTCTGTGATCTTTACCCCCTCCTGCTGCTACAGGCCCTCCCTAAGGGACTGAGTAACTTTGCACCAAGTTTGCAGGCTTAGCAGCTGTAGGCAGAGTGAGGCGCAGATGGGGGTGGGGACACCTTCCAGACTCTCCCTGGGGTGTGTATATGTGTGTGTGTGTTGGGGGGGGGGGGTTGAAGTTTGGTCCAATTTCACACTCTTCAGGGGCAGAGTTGAGGCATTAAGGTGACTACTTATGCCTCCTGTGGGGGCAACGGTGGCTCCAGGGGGTCCAGACTGGACTAACAGCCATTCCCAACCCCTCCGAAGCTGGTCAGGATGCCTGGGTCTGGCGTGAAGGCTCCCTGGGCCTCCTCTCAGAGAGGCAGGCCCAGTGTGCATGTGAGCCCTGCGGAGTACCTCTCGAAGGTGCATGCACCTCTGTGTGCTTATGGAGCCGGGCGTGCTGGGGGCCTGGACGTAGACAGGCGGGTACGAAGGCCAGCCTGGCTGTGGTGTGAGGGCCAGGGGATGTACAGCTTGGGAAATTGTTGAGCTGTGGTTGTGTGTCTGCGGGGAGCTGTGTCCTGGGGCTGGGCACGCAAGCCCAGAACCATCTTCATTGTGTGGTGGAGCCCAGGTGTGGAGAGATGATATCTGCAGGTTCCCTCTTCTCTCGTGCGTGCCCACACACACACAGGCTGGGTGTGCAAGCGTGCTCTTGCCCACCTGTACGCTTTCCATAGATCTTCGCGCATGAGTTTCTTCATGTGTGTATGTGACTGTCAGTACTGATGAGGCTTAGCCAGCCCCTCCTTCCCTTGCCAGAGTTCCGTTGTGTGGGGCCCCACAGGGGTGTGGGGGGCCCAGGGCGGCAGCTGGCCTGATGGGTGGGGCCCCTGTTCCTCTGACGTCAGCTCTCTCAACCTGGGAGGGAATCCGAAGGCGCCTGGGGAGGGAAGACGGCACCTCATTCAGGAGTAAGGACAGAGGTCTGATGATCGTCATAATTAGCAACAGTAAAAATCATGGTCATTAACAAGGTCCAGATTTTACTCCTGGGAAAGCTGTCCCCTCCCTAGCAAGTACCTATCCCCACTTCCCCCGCCCTGGCACAGGCTGGCTGCCTGGCCCAGCTGGGCCCAGAAGCCCTGGCCTAATCCACAGTGGCCTTGGCAGGAACTCCCCCTTCCCAGGCATAGTCCTCGGCCAACTGCTGCCCATGAGCTTGTCCACTGGACTCTAGGTCTGAGCCTGGGGAACCTGGAGCCTGGAACCTGATAGGGCTTGAGCTCGAGGGGGAAGGGGCTGGAAAGGGAGGCAGCCCTTATTTTGGGTCTCTGTGGCCTTTCTTCTCTTTTCCCTTCCTCCCTTCTCTCTTCTCTTTTTTAAGTATTTTTTCTTTATTGATTTTAGAGAGAGCGGAAGGGAGAGGGAGAGAGAGACATTGATGAGAGAGAACATTGATCAGCTGCCTCCTGCATGCCCCCCACTGGGGATCGGGCCCACAACCTGGGCATGTGCCCTGACCAGGAATCTGGCGACTTCTTGGTGCATGGGTTGATGCTCAACCACTGAGCCACACCAGCCAGGCTTCTCTTCTTCTTCTTCTTTTTTTTAATCCTCACCTGAAGATATTTTTCTATTTATTTTCAGATAGAGTGGGAGGTAGGGAGAGAGGAGAGAGAGAAACATCGAAACGAGAGGGACACATCAACTGGCTGCCTCCCGCATGACCCTGACCAGGGCCGGGACGAACTGCAACCGAGGTACATGCCCTTGACCAGAATCGAACCCGCCACCCATTGGTCAGCGGGCTGACACACTAACCGCTGAGCCAAACTGGCCAGGGCTCTTTCTTCTTTTTAACAGCTTTATTGAGATGTAATTCATATACCATAAAATTCACTCATTAAAAGTGTACAATTGAATGGTTTTAGTATATTCAGAGTTGTGCAACTACCACCACAATCAATTTTAGAAGATTTTCATCACTGCAAAAGAGGCCCCATACTCTCAGCAGTCACTTCCCATTTCCCTCAGATCCACACCCCAGACCCTGGTAAACCACAGTGTACTTTCTGTCTTTATAGATTGCCTGTTCTGGACATGTCATGTCAGTAGAATCATACACTATGTGGTCTTTTAGAATTAGTATAATGTTTTCACGGTGTATCCACATTGTAGTGTGTAGTGTGTATCAGTACTTTGTTCCTTTTTAGGGCAGAGTAATATTCCATTGCACGGATATACAACATTTTATTTCTTCATCAGTTGACGGACATTTGGGTCTACGTTTTGGCTATTATGAATAATGCTGTTATGAAGGTCCAGTACAAGTTTTTGTGTAGACTGACCCTTTCATCTCTCAGGTAGATACCTAGGAGTGGAGTTGCTGGGTCATTCTATGATAACTCTATTTAACCTTGTGAGGAACTGCCACACTGTTGTCCTGAGCAGCTGTTCTCATTTATATTCTCACCAGAAATGTATGAGGGTTCTGATTTTTCCACATTCTTGCCAGTCTTTATTATCAGTCTTTATGGTTATAGCCATCTTAGTGAATGTGAAGTGGTCTCTCATTGTTTTTCGCCATGTTTCTTTTTGTCTTGTATGTATGTACTGCGTATACATGCACATATACGCGCCTTTATGTGTATTTGTGTATGTATATCCTCCTGTATAGCCCAAGTGGACTGGAAGAGTCTGCTGTGGATCTGCTTCTCTTTTTCTCTCTCTTTGCTGTTTGTCTTACTGTGTCGTGGAGTCTGTGGGTTCATCTCTGTCTCTCTCTACCCCATGGTGTTATCTGTGCATGTCCTCTGGTCCCAGCTGTTCAAACAGGGTGTGGATCTCTGTACACACTGGTGGGGGGCATCTGGCCTTTCATCTGTGGCCCACCTCTCACTCCCTCCACTGATGTTGCTTCTGCAGAGTATGTGGGTGTGCTCTGATTAGTCTCCCTCGCCCCTTCAGTGCAGTCCCTGCCTCCTGACACACTGCTCACCCCAGGCCCATCGTGCTGTTAAGCACTGGAGGTGATGCCCAGGAGTCCTTAGTTTGCATTTCCCTGTTTTCACGTATGTAAACAGGCCTCCTCCCCTGGCCTGTGGAACAAACCCATCTGGGGTGCTGGGGCTTGGATTTGGGGGGGAAGTGGTGTAAGAGGGGCCCCTGGCTTAGGAGTCATTTTTCTGAGAAGTGCCTGCCAATGCTTTAGGGAAGCGGCTTTTCCTCCCCCTCCTACCCTCCTCCAGCCTCATTCTTTGCATCTTGACCTCAGGTAACCCACACTGGGGGCAGGAGCTCAGCTGCCTACCTCTGCCTTGCCGCAGGGGATCTCTAGGGTGGCACTGTGGACCCTTTACCCTCAGGATTGTGGGTGAGAGGCCTCTGACTCTGTCCCTGTCTCCCCAGCCTGGCTGTGCTGTGCTGCCACCCCCAGCAGTGTCTGGGCCCTGCTCCCAGGCTGTCTCTGCCAGCCGGGCATGGTGCCAGCTGTCTGCTCAGCCGGGTGCCACGGGAAAATCTCCGGCCGCCCAGGTTGGGGAGCTCCACGGGGAATGCCCTTGTGTCCGCTCCTCAGTGCCCACTCACCTGTCTTTCCTCTTTCTGCAGCGTCACAGGACATGACCACCCCAGCCGCCTAGCCGGGGCCCATCTAGGAGAGGCATCCTTTTCGGCGTCCTGAAGGCCAGCTCTGGACCTTCCCAGGAAAGTGCCAGCTCACAGAACTGCTTGACCAACGGACCGGCTCTTGGGACGTCCCCCAACCCCTGGCCCCCAGCTAGAGTGGGGGCTCCAGGAGACTGAGATTAGCCTGCTAGCCTTGGACAGCAGCTCCAGGACAGAAGGGGGGGTGGGTTGACCACCCAAACCCCCTCTGGGCCCGGGCCCCATGCCCCGAGGAGGGGCGGCCTGAAGCCCGCCAGAGCCTTCCACCAAGACTGTCTGCCTGCCTTCTGACGGTGGCTGCTTGGCATGGCCAGCAACAGCAGCTCCTGCCCAACACCTGGGGGAGGGCACCTCAATGGGTACCCGGTGCCCCCCTACGCCTTCTTCTTTCCCCCTATGCTGGGTGGACTGTCCCCGCCAGGCGCTCTGACCACTCTCCAGCACCAGCTTCCAGTTAGCGGCTACAGCACGCCCTCCCCAGCCAGTAAGTGGGGTGGTGGGAGGCTGGGTGGGGGAGCTCTGGAGGGCAGCAGGCCTTGGAGCTTGGCCTCTGGGTACATCTGTTCTGCTGCAGTGGTGAAGTCTTCTCTCGACAAGGGGGACCATTGGGGGACTAGAGGATGAAAAGCTTGTAGGCTGATAAGTGTTTGATGTTGGGGGCCACAGAGGGAGAGATGAAACAATGCTGCTCTGTGGTGCCCCCTGAGCCCCCTCCTGTGCTGTGCTGTTGAGGGCCTTATAAATAGCTGCAAGGACTGGACACAGAGGCTGGAGGCGGGTAAACAAACCTCTCAGCATTTGGTGGAAATGGCAGCTCTACTGAGAGCGGCACCCACCTACTCCCCACCCACTCCAGCGTCTCCGAGGGAAAGGGCTTGAAGGAGCAGAGAGGGGCAGGCTGCTGGAACCCCTTCCACTAGCTCCGCCCCGTGGGGGGGCGAGCGGGAGGGACCCATGAGCAGACAGGGCAAGTGTCCCAGGAGGGGTGCTGGGCCTGGACTCTGCCTATGGACACATGCGTAGTCTTGGCAGGGTCTGTGTTTTCTCTACCGCCTCCCTCTGCCATGGAGGTTGCCTGTTAGCTGGATGGGGGTCTCAGTACCCTTCCCTGGCTGGCCGAGCCAGGTAGTGGGAGGTGGCGGCGGCTATGGCCAGCTGGCAGAGTCCAGGCCTCAGGCCTGCCAGGCCGCTTACAGTAACTCTGGCCCCCAGGGCCCAGCTGGGCGCCAGGCCAGGGCTTGGGGGGAGGAGGGAGCCGGGGCCTGGCCTGGGGCTGGAGGAGGGGTGGAAGCAGCAGCTTAGGCCATGGACCGGCCTGCCGGTCAGCTGCTGACCTGGGAAACGTGGCCCACCTCTCTGGTGGGCAGGGACTGAACACCCTGCGCCGGGCACCCACCACCCCTCCCACAGCCACTCGCAAGCTGCCTGGCACTGCTGTCCTGTGTGCCTGGCTGGGCTGGGTCAGTGCCCCCTTCTCAGTGCGGGGGCAGCGCACTCTCCCCAGAGCCAGGGAGTCTCTTTGTCCCTGGGGCAGGCCCTGGCTGGGCGCCTCACTGCCCGCACTGGCCCAGCGCCCACCGCCACCACTGCTTCCTGGTTGCCTCCTCTGGCTCCGCCATGCCCCCTTCCTCGCAGGCCCCACCAGCTGCTGGGGGTGGGAGCGCTCTGTCTGCGCTCCTTTAGGCCCCCACCCTTTAAGCCCTGGGGCAAGGGACAGTCAGATACTGCCTCCCTTTCTACCACCACCCCTTCTCACTCCTCCATCCTGTTTCCTCCCTCTTTCTGTCCTCCTCACATAGGATGTGAGGCGGGTGGCACAGTGACCTGGGAGTCCGGAAGATTCTGGCCTGGTCTCCCAGTCTGTGCAGGTGATGGAGAGGCCAGCCTCAGGGCTCAGGGTTGCTGGGAGTGGGTGGGTGTGGCTGTGGCTCCTAGTAACCCTATAGGGTGGTTGCTGCGTCCGCCTGTCCGCAGGGACTGGGGTTCATGTTCCCACCTTGGATGACTGGAGTGTCTACTTCCTGTCAGGGTGGGATTTTTTTAGGGAGGAAGAAGTTGGGGGCCTTAACCTGGTGCCAGGGGACAACTTGTCTTCCCCAGATGGTGCTCCCCTGGGGCCTGGTCTCAGAGAGGGTGGGAGGGGCCTGGCCCCTGTCCTTGCCCTGTCCTGTGCCAGGAGAGTGTGTGCTTTGCCTGCTCTGAACGTTGCAAGCTTCTTCCTCTTTCTAAGGGGTGGGTGGGGAGGGTTTCCGGGTTCCCCATTTCCCACCCTGGTAACCTTTTCCCCCAGGGTGGGGTGCCCACATTTCAGGCAAGTAGAGGCGTCTCTGGCTTTCTCCACCCAGGTTAGGCAATGCCCCTTCCTGCCCCCTCCCTGTGTGAGCCAGCTCCTCTCCCCTTCCTCCTGGTAAACAACAACAGCTTCTCTTCCCTCCTAGACCCTCAGCTTCTGAGATTCTCCCTAATGTTCCCCCTTTTCGGGGACCAGGGGCATCTCCCTCTTCCTTGTGCAGGGCTGGGGGCTGAGCCCCAGATCTGGGTTTGGAAGCACGGCAGCTCAGTATCCACACGTGTGGGAGATGGAGGCAGCCGCGCCTTCCCGCCTTCCCCGCTCAGGGGTGGTGCTGGGTTCAGGCAGTTCCGAGGAGAGGTGGACCTCCCTGCCCCCATTCCCATAGGGAGCAGGGATAGGCTTCGTTCTCTACCACCCTTTTGTAGGAAACCTTGCTAATAAAGCTCCCTCCTCCCACTTTCCACCAACAGAGGTGTTGGGACATTCCCTCTCCCCCTCCCATACCTCTCCCCAAGTCGGGAGGAAGCTGGACCTTGGGTGTCTTGCGGGTATCCTTCAGAGACCCAGTGGCCTATGAAATGACATAAATGTTCTCCAGGTCACTGTGGGGAGAGGTGGGTATTTGTCTCACTATAGTCTCTCAGAGAGTCAGAGTGGGAGGTCCCAGAGATGGTACAGGATCCCCCACCCCAAACCAGCCCCTGGGGCTCAGTCTCCTCTGAGCGCTGGTATTTACCGTGGAGGGCCGGATCCTATGTGCACTGTGGTGAGGGTCAGGGCTGTGTGTGTTTTAGGGGTGGGTGGGGTCAAGGCTGGCTGTGTGTTGGGAAGGGAGTTAATGGTTTGTGTGTATTGGGTGAGAGGGTCAGAGAGTTGAGTGTGTTTTGGGGGAATCCAATCCGGAGGAGCTGGGGAAGGGGTATCACAGCTTGTGTGCTGGAGGGGCTGTGACTCCGGGCACAGTGTTTAAGGGGGGGGGGCTGTGGATTGTGTTGTGTGTTTGGGGAGGGGAAGGTCTCTAATTCTTAACATCTAAGCTAGAGGGGAAACTAACCTACCTCTTTTGTGGCTCGCCCCAGGAATTCCAGGGTGGAGCAGGAGGTGTAGTTTGAGTCGGGCTTTGTCAGTTACTCATCTGGTAACCTCTCTGAGCGTGTTTCTTTGTCTGTAAAGCAGGGCTATTACCAGAACCTCCCAAAGAGGGCTGAGATTGGGCAAGGTCATCTGTGTAAGATCATCCACAGGGCACTCAGGTGCATGCTGTGCTTGTGGTGACTGCTGTCTCACTGACGGGGAAAGGGGCCCAGCCCCTTCTGGGTGGGAGTTGGAGAGAACAGGCTGCTAATATCTGTGGAGCACCTACTGTGCATTTGGGACTTTATCCCGGTTTTACAGCTCCTTAATCCCCACAGTCCTGGGAGAGGGACATATCTCCATTTACACGTGAGAAAATAGCCCTGGTGGAGGTTGTGACTGAGTCCAGTGACCGGGAAAGCTGGGCTCTTTTCCACCATCTAGATTGGCAGCTGGGGGAGGGTATTTTGGGGGGCACTCCTGGGTGTGGGTAGTCCTGAGGGGGGCAGTGCCAGTGTTGAAACTCCTTCCCCGGTGGCTGAGGCCCTGCTTCTGCTTTAGGAACTCCCACCTTTCCCCAGTAGGGGGCGCAGGAAGCCCCCCACCCCCACCCCCAAGCCTTGCCCTCTCTTCTCTGTTTTGAATTCTGAAGGCTGGAGGGAAAGAGCGATAAGAGGCCTGGGCCAGATCTCCATCCTGTCCTGGAAGCTGCGGATACAATCTGTTCACACCCATCCCACCCCCGAATCTGCCCACTGCAGCCACAGGAGTTTGCAGAGCTTAGCAGGCAACCTTCCCCCATCTCCAGACAGACACTGTAGGAACAGAGTGTAAAAGCCACAGTTCATATTCTTATTTTGTTTCAGTTTGTGGGGTGGGGGCAGGGAGGTTGGAAGCAATCAGTAGAGGAGCCAAGAATGGGAGCCCCAAAAGATTGGCTCACACTTTTTCTGTCCGCGTATTTGCTGTGTGCCTAGACGCGGGAGAATGGCCCTGGGGTCCGGGACCCTGGGGAGAGGGAGGAAGGGGTGTGCCCTTCTCTTTGTCTCCTCTGCCACTCTCTCCCCTTTGCAGTCTGTGTCCTCCCTTCCTCCCTCCTGCCTACTCTTTCCCTGGACAATAGGAGGGACAGCCCAGGGGGTGGGGGTACAGCTAACAATGCCTTTCCTGGGGTCCAAAATGTAGAGTCAGCCAACAGAGAGTTGGTTGGGGTTTTAAGTGAAAATGGAGCCCCTCACCTTTTATCTGGCAGCATTAATAATGCACAGGCCCCCTCTGGGCAGGATCCCAGCATGATTTCGGGGAGGGAACGCAGGGAAGGAAGCCTGTCCTCTTAGCTGACCAAGACCTGACATTATGTCTATGCCGTGGTAAGGGCCGTGCGCCCATGGGGATGTGCCAGTGCAGGCCCTGGCTGCCCTTCAGGGGTGGTCTATAGAAAGAGGAAGTGTTTCTCTTCTTTACTTTGGGGTGGTGCCCATACTGCCTTCTTCCTTCTCTTCCTCCTCCTTCGTGGAGTCTGGATAGCCAGTGGAGCTGGGTCTCCCTAGGTGGACTGGAGGCCCTCAGCCTTGGCTAGATCAGAAATAGAGGCCCTCCTCCCCATTTTGACTAATGGGTTGCTGGGAACCTCAACCAGCCCACAGACCAAGGCCCCAGTGGGCAGCAGTCTTAAAGGACAGCTCTTCCTGTCTGGCCTTGGGCAGGTCACCCAAACTCTCTCTGTCTGTTTCCTCCTCTTTAAAGCAAGACTCCTAATCCATCCTTGGCTGGGCGAGTTGCTGAGGCCACGGTGACCTGGTTGCTGGTGAGGGCGTGGGTGCTTCAAGTACCCTTGAAGTGATGAGCAGTGATGATGAGGGGCAGGTGGAACCAGGAATTGTCTTGGGGGATGGCCACTCTATACTGGGACCCACTGTCCATCTGGCTCAGAGCCTCATGATTTCATGTTTATTGTCCTCTCTAGATGGGGTTGGGACAGGAGGGAGCCCTTCCTGGCACAAGTGGGGGCCAGTTGAGCCCACACCTACTGAGGGCCAGCTAGGTGCACAGCCCTAGAGGAGCTGTGGGGACAGACCCGAGGCCTGCAGGCCGCTGCCATCAAGTTTCCCCCACCA